ACTTCACCCCCTTAAAAGAGCAGTTGCACTTGAATACCTCCTTCACCTGAGCCTGAATTCTGCGAGGATCCTTCTTAGGGCTCTGGAATGTATGCAAGGCGATACAGTGGAAGACGCACTTGTTGTTGGTCTTAGGGAAGTTGATTACATGCTTGTTTTCGCGGATAATCTTAGGAATAACAGCGTCGCTATCCTCAAGAGCATGGTCGCGATGGTAGACGAAAATCTCGAATGCAGTGATCGCCTTAATAGTTCAGCTTGTCAGCCAACTCCATAGACCGAATTTCCGAAATCACCTTCTTTCGAATATCAGCCTTGCTGTTGATAGCGACAGGCTTATTGAACACATAAGTGTTAGCGAGATTCGGATAGAAGTAGCGAGTGTCATCAGGATCAGTCTTGCTCACAAGTTCGTACCCGAGAGCAACATTTATCTTGAACGCACTTGCCTGAGTCAAAAGAACGTTCTCGAGCTTATCGTAGAAATCAGTAGCCTCAACACCCTCATATAGGTGTGATTCCATGTGATTACCATTGTAAAAACGGTACTTAGGATCAGCCTTGAAGTCAGGCGACAAGTGTCTCTCAAGGGTTTCAGTCGAAACATTGTACTGCTTAGCTACCAATCTCTGGTTGATTGGGCGCGAAACGTTGCTTACATAAACCATCTTACCCGTTCTACCACGTACCCTAACACGGTAGCTATGGATATTTAATCTCTTTTAATCCTTCGAGCTCGTATGCAAACATGTTGCCTATTATTTGCTTAACTAAATTATTCCCCGTAGATACCGTATTCCTTATGTGATTGGCGACGCTCGGTCATTAGCGACAAATCCAGCAGCCAATCAAATTGATTTAAATTTCGTGTTGTCGCGCTTTATGTGCTTGGCGACCAATATAATTTTGAGCATGTGATATAGTTTTTTCGATGCAGGTATCTTTTATGCTGGCAGAAAGGCTGTACCACCTCAAGAATTTGACTGTCGCCAATCACATAAGGAATACGGTATGACTTTATAATTATTTGACCTTGTATCAGGATCGACTTTATATCTTAGTGATTTACAAAACATTATGAAATTAATTAATTCAAGTATTTGGGCTATACCTTTTAGGAGGCTTTAAGCCATTGTCATTGACTATATTGGGATTGACTTTTTATTTGAGAATTTTTTTTAATTAATTCATTAAGTTCGGTTTCGTTGTTTTGTCATCAATAAGTTCGGTTTTGGGCTTCGCTTGCGAGCTCGAATTTGGTCTCTATTCTTATCGTCGTAGCTATTTTGATATGACAAGCGAGCGTCGCGTGTGCGCTGGTAGTAGCGCTTCTGTGCTGCCTTAATGCGTTCTTTGTTAGCGAGGTATTGTTCAGGTGAGTACGTCATAACTAACTTTTTATTTATCAGGATGAAAATTAATTGTGTGTTATTCCGATGACGAATAGATCACGAAGTAATATTTTGGTAATATCTTGGTAGGCCATGAAAGAGAAGCTGATGTCATTGAAGCGTTGAAGCACTCAATTCATTACGCACCTCGGATACGGAACAAGGATTGCATACTGTTTGATGGTTTGAGGAGTCTTCTTGGTGAAAGTTTTGTAGTAGAGTGGTGGAAGCAAAAAGAAGAGTCGATTGCCATTCTGACCCAGTTTCGCCAAATCATTTGCCGCCCCGCTCTTGATGTCATGCGTTTTTCCCACAGTCATCTGGAATCCACCGAACTGCGGCATCCACGCATCAATAGCAGTATAGTTCGATGTCCCAGGCACGTATAGCTGATTTGCATGTTGACCGACTTCCACACGCTCCGCTACTTGCCGAGGCTGCGATGACCGTGGAATATCGATTGTACCATCAGCTGGAGTGCGTTTCCTCTTTCCAGAAAACAGCTCTCGATACACGAAAGTCCCACCCTGCTCCAGCCGATCCATAGAATAAAACTCAAAGATGTATCCACACAGTGATTGTGCTAGCGACTTTCCATATGACCAACCGAGAAGGCTTTGCAACCTCGCGCGGTCAAATCGCCACTTTGTTCGAACAATCAACTGCATCGCCAAATCTGATGCATAGACGACTTCGTATTCTCGATACGGTTCTTGGCTGAGAATGTGAATCAAAGTCTGAGCGATCGTGGTCTTCGAGTTGCCCTTAGAGTGTATAGACACCAACATAGTGCAATCATCGAGAGAACAACTGCTGCATGCGGACATCAGCAAAGCTTGTGCGTTTGTTCCAATGTCTTGCAACACCAGGCGAGGTACACCACCCAAGCAATCAAATCGATTCTCCCACACAGCTGCTGCATGTGGATACATGGGAGCAATTGTCGCCAGTTCTTCTTTCGACCACAGTGGCATGTAGAAAACATCGGCAGTAGGAGGCTGCTTCTTGAACTCACCGATGCAGTCTCGTCGCGGTGCGCTTGCGAGAAGAAGTGAGCATAGCCGGTAGGGAAGCCCAGAAATACTTGTTGGGTCCATCGAATCAACAAGGCACCACAGATCAGGCGACCAAAACTGTAAATTAAACTTGCTTGGCAACGCCAGACAGTTCAGCATCATCGATCCATCGAAGTAAAAGAGCCCATTGTTGTCGAAAAGCAGCACGCGCTTCTTCTCCTTGATCAATCTCCACAGGACATAGTAGACGAACACCGACTTTCCAACCCCAGGCGTGCCCGTGACGACAGCATACTTGACCATGCCCACATTTGGATTGAGCAGCGCTTGGTTGGCGATCACTTGGTACGAAGAGCGAATGTAGAGCTTCTGACGTCTCGTTAGCGGCAGCAACGACGAAAACTCGAGCCAATCACCAACTTGGTCAACTGTCGGGAGTTGTAAGAAGAATGGATCACTGCAGTGGTCGAAAACACCGTCTTGAGAGACTGTTGGAACCGAGGACCCTTGCTCCGGAACCACCACCAGCACGTGAACTTGCTCACTGGATGGAAGCTCCATGTTGTTCTTCGTGTAAAACCACGTTGTTATGGTCTTTGAGCCCAGAACCGGTTCTCCGGCCGTCAGCGCATGGATGTAGTCATCAGATTCTCCTTCCACCAGCTTCAGAGCAGCCCGATGTTCGTCTGGGAGCCACTTAAAACTTTCCTCCTTCATCTCCTCCGCAGAAGGGCGGTAAACAGGGACGACCTCATTGCCGCTCTCATCTTCGATGGGCTGCTTCGCCAAGAAGAGCTGCAGGTCCTTGGCGTCGCCCGTGATAGTCGTTGCATTCTTCGCCTTGATCGCATTCTTCAAGTCTCCCACCAGCTGGCTCGCGTCGATGTCCACATCGAACGAGCTTCCTACCTGACCGACAATCGCGCACTGCAGGGAAACCACCACCATCTTTACTCGAGACGGCAGGTTCTGGAATGAGGGGAGAATTTCTGGCGTACTTAAGCGGGAAAGAAGGGTGAACCCTGTTTTGAGCTGTGCTGCTTCTATTAAACCAGTGTATTGTCGAAGCGGGACGATTCGGAGAAAGGCACGAAGCGAACGGTGAATCGACGCTGCGTTGTTAAAGGCCAAAATTAAGAAAACCTATTTTTATTATCCAATGAGATGCCATATATACGTTGAAGTTGAAGTGACAGCGCATCTCGGACTGAAGACTCTGCTGCAGCGCCAGCGCGGTCCGCCTCCTCGGGCAAAATGCATGCCTTTATGAACTCGTCCCGATCTTTTGCCGACCCAATGGCCATGCCATACTCATAAATCATCAGCGTCACCGCTGTTCCTTATGTCACCACAAGCCACTGGTTCTATGTCTGGCGAGACTAGGTGAAGTTTACTACACGTTTCTTCACCGTAGACTCACAAGTTTAGCTCGCTCTGCGAGCTGAAGAGTCTCCACACTCCATACACCGTCAGTCTTGACTGCATGTTTCTTCACTCGACCAGAAAACATTTCCCAAACAGCTTTTATAATATCGTTTAATGACCGTAAATTAAAAACAGAACCACGCAGTGTTTCAGCTGACGAATCACGCTGATTAATGGACGTCTTCACAATGGTCCGCACAAGTAATTTACAGCGATTGTCAGGGGGGGGGGGTGCTGCTGCCGGCGCTGCCGGTGCAGCATCCTCTGTCAACCATGTGGCTACATGGTTCACCGAAACAGAATTTGGTGCTGTTGCATCAACATAATCATCCACAAGCCCCGAGATTTCCCGTGCGCCTGGTGTCCCTGGAGCATCTGTACCTGGTACTGGTGCAGCAACTTGATCCAGAACATTCACTAGCCCCGTTGAGGCCTATGAAGCAGCGGCTTTAGCCATAAATTCACCAGCTTGACCCGCCGGGGCGCCTTGAGCAGGTCACACAGCAGGTTCAGTTCCCGAGAGACTTGGTTGCCTTGGCAAAGGAGTGGTCACTTCCTCACGCGTTGGCGGATGGTCAGGGGGGGAGAGGGTCCTCTTGGAGTGGATTGAATGATGCTCGACTTGGCGGACGATATGGAGATGCACGTGGGGCATGATCACGCCAGAGCGGAGAATGCAGCGTCATCTTCGGAGTGCGCGCACTTGTCATGAATGAAGATGGCGAGTCAGAGGTGTATTCTGTATTAACGTCAAAATGCATTCTGTATGATAGGCTACCTGGTCGTGTCTCTCAGTGAGAGTCTCACACACCCGCGGTAATTTCGAATAGACAATACTACTTCTAAAAACAAAGTACTAAAATAACCCCAACATGAATTGATCGTTATTAGTTGGCAAGAAATAATCGACCGGTAAGTAGTATTTTATTGTTGGAAACTTTGTATATAGAGAAAAACAGACTTACAGCAGCGCGCCGTCTCTCTCTAGTTCTACCCCCGAGGCTGAGCTCTTCCTCCTCTGTTGAAAGAACTGGTAGACCCTGCTGCTCCAAGTCTGAGTGGTTTTAATCCTGCAGGTCCAGGACCTCGACGCCGACTCGTCGGTTCCAATGGTTAAGTGTTGTCCTCGCTCTCTTTTTTGTTCTTCACTCTGCTGTCTGTCGAGCGTCTAGTGCACAAACTGCTGCTGGTCGTCCGCCACGAAGTTCGAGTCGAAGTAGATTTTCTGTGGGCGCTGGAATCCGTTAAAGTCCGAGCCGGCAGCGCACGTGTAGGCGCCCATACTCGGGAACAGGATCCACTGCCCGATGTCCATCAACGGCATCTCCACTTCCTTCATGATGCAGTCCATGCCGTCACACGTCGGGCCCCAGAGACTAGCCTTAAACATCTGGGTGGCGCTTGGCGAGGCGGTATCCGACATGATGACAGGCTGGATCGACGGGTGGTCGTAAACCATGCAGTTGAACGAGGCGTACAGTCCATCGTTCACAAAATACATATAGTTGGGTGTTGGTCCCGCAGCGCTGGCGAGCACGGGCGGCTGACCGGGGATGTCAAAAGTGGGCGCCACCTTACGACCGATCACGTTGACGGCCAGTGTGTGGGTGGACGCGGCGAAGAAGCGGCCAGGCTCCGAGATAACTTTAACATTGCTACTCCGTGGGAAGTGGACGGCCAGCGACTTTTTGAGTTCAAGAGCGCAGTCTTCGAACCGGATCGGGGCATTTTCCGTACCGGGGAACCCACCACCGATGTCTAGCAGGCTAAAGTTGAAGCCTTGTGAGTGGCCAATGTCGAACACCTTGCGGGCGAGAGCCACGGCGTCCGAATAGGCCTCGACATTGAAGCAGCCACTCCCGACGTGGAAGCTGACGCCCACGACGTCGAGATTTAGAGCCTTGGCGTGGTTCAAGATGTCCGGGACATCGTGCACCATGGCGCCAAACTTTGTGCCGAGACGGCAGATGGAGTTCGAGTCGTCCACGTAGAGACGAAGCACGAGCTTCGCGCTGGGGTTGATACTGTGGATCTTAGTAAGCTCCTCCTGCGAGTCGAACGTCATCATATCGACGCCATTTGCGTGCGCGTAGGTAATCTGGGAGCCTTGCTTGCACGGATTGGCATAGATAATGTCGCTAGCAGAGACGCCGTTGCCAAGCACGGAGCTGATCTCCGTCTGGCTGGCGCAGTCGAATCCTGCTCCGAGGCGGGCCAGACCTTCAATAAGGGCCGGATCCGGGTTGCACTTGACGGCGTAGTATGGCCGAACCTCGGGCAGGTACTGGTTCCAGAGCTTGAAGCGATCCTCGACAGCGGCCGTGTCCACGACGTAGAACGCGTCGCGTTGACTGCCGGGGGCGTTTCCAAGGCTCTGGATCTGAGTCTGCAGCTGCGTCAGTATGGCCGCGTTAAGCTGCAGACGCTGCAGCTCAGGCGGCGGCTTGGCGTTCGTGGAGGCCGTGGCCAGGTCGCTGGACAGCAGTGCGGCACGGGCCGGTTGTGTGCTCATGCAGCGAGCAGCGGATCGCTCGTGGCCAAATCTGCTGGCCAGACGTGATGCGCTCGTAAGTGCCGCGCGGCTGGCGCGGGAGCCTCGGAAGAGCAGAGCCATCTCGACGGCGGACTGGATCGGGCGAGAAGCAAACGCGGAAATGCGCAGACGCGGGCCAATTTGGAAATGAAAGAGCGGCGCTGGCTTAACGGATGGAGGCAAAAACCAAGGCTCGCATTGTCAAAACACGCAAAACACGGGGATCCGATCTTTGACTGTCATAAAGTATGGTGCTGATTGGCTGCTAGCCAGCCGTTTCGCTTTGCTGCCATGCACGAAAAAAGAACCAAAAAGGCAACTTATTGATCCCATGCGACGAGGGAAGCACCCTGGAGTCTGACACGCTTGCTCGACTGCAAAGCGTTTTGCTCAAGTTGAACTCTAGATTTTTAACGCGGTTCTTCTCTCGCTGGGACGAGCTAAGCGCTAGACTTAGCGATTCCAGGCAAAAAATAGAGAGGGACTCGGCAGTTTCTTATTGCCCTTATGAGCGAGGCGCGCCAAGAGCGAGATAATCGCTGGGATCTTCCTTCGCTGCGAACGTGCCGTCCCAACTGCAAGTCTGTAAGGTTAATTTGAGCAACTCGCATAGTTACGCAAAATTTGTAGATGTCCCGGTGCTTTTCTACACCGGCAAATTTACAATCGGCGCATCCTAAGACTGAAGTTTACGTTGAAGTGTAAAGTTAAGATTTCGCCAGCAGTCGGATTCAGATTCGTCATCAATCGTTCTGAGTTGCATTCTTAGCGGCAACAAGTTGCCATCGAGACATCATTTTCACGAGCCACATCACAGAATGAGAATGCTAGTCAAATATTTGGGAAGGAAGTGGTTGCCAGCGACGTTACCACTCGGCACTGCCGTCTAGCCGACACGTCCCTGTTGCTGGTGCTCGGCTTCGCAGGAAACTGCTTGCTCCCACCAATAGCAAGCCAATGAGAGCGACGTCTTCACCCCGAGAACGTGCGTCGCTGGCCTCTTATTGGTTGCACTGCAACTTGCACGACTGGAGGCAGAAAGCCGTCGAACACCGTCGGCTCTAAAGCTAAGGATAGCCCTGTTTGCTTCGAAAGACTCACTGTATCTACCCGCTAATCTCTATGGCGACAAGTACTCACTTGTATCAATCGACTCGTCCTGTCCCTCCGGATCCATCTGCTCCATGCTGTTGCTGAGTTCGTCTGGGTCCTCTCCACGCATCAACTTCTCAAGTCGGTCCAGCCCCTGCAACGCCTCGGTTGATCCCGGGTTTAATCTCAGCGCTTGGTGATAATACTTCAACGCTTCCGCGTACTGTTTATCCATTGAGTAAACGTACGCTAGCTTCGTGAAGACTTCTTCACGTGGGTGACGCTCGCCCAATGCCTGTAGTCTGTAATAACACCAAAAAACACGCGTGAGATAGAGTGGATAAGTATACGCAAATCTGAAAATTAATGCGTACCTATCAATGGCTCCGCGCAAGTTGCCGTCTTCAACCAACAAATCGGCAAGCGCAAAATTGGTGGAGAGCTTGCGAGGTTCCATAGACAATGCCTTCTGCAGAGCTTGACGCGCTTGCTCTCGATGCTCCGAGCTTAGTGCGAGCACACTACCGAACAACACAAAGCTCTGTGCCTTTTGCGGGTACAATTTCACGACACTCTTGGCAGTAGCCAAGGCTTCCTTGTATCGGTTCACACCGATGGCAAACAAGTCGCAATAACTGGTGATTATACCCGTGTAAGCCTCTAGAGACCGAGTGAGGCGACATGCAGTCCAGAAGGCTTTTAACGCAGGCTGTGGACGTTGCATCCGGAGCAATAGTTCACCTCGTAATAAGTGGGCTGGTGCATGGCGATGCTGCTCTGCGATAGCGCGCTCGGAGAACTGCAAGGCCGTTTCATAGTCTCCTTTCACGTCGTTATAGTACGCAGCAGCGAGCCACGATTCTGCGCGTGAGCTGCTTATCTTGAAGAGCTCTTGTACCAAGTCGTTGAGGTTGGTGCGTGAGTTGCCTCTGCGCAGACAGTTGGCGTAGCGATCCATGAACGACAAGTTCAAGTCGTCGGTTTGTCGTGCACGTTTGAATGTTACATGAGCTTGATGAAGCAGCTCCTGGTCGCTCTCGAGTGTTCCCTTGTGCAACAAGCAATGGAGGTTCTTGGGAAAGACTCGTTCCAGCGCATTGAATGACTCTACGGCCGCTACCAACATGGAAAAATACCAACATTGCGTTAGATTACAGTTTGATACTAATAAAACCATAACATACCACGGTAATTTCCCCTCTCGGTATCCATGTGAGCCTGCACCAACGTCTGCATCCACGCTGAGTCCACAGGAGATAAACCTGCGTCGGCTGGTCGCGATTCCGGCGCGCTGTCACTGTAGAAGCGTTCGATTTCGTGTTGCCTGGTGGTCAGTGTCGCGTTTACCTGCGTTGCTTTATCCGATCCTGTAAATGCATCCGGCGATGCATCTTTTGCTGCTGCTAGTTCGGTGAGCGCTAAAGCTGCTTCCAATGCGTACGGATTCTGGCGTAGAGCAGTTGCATAACTCTCCTCTGCCTTGTTCTGCAGTCCTTCGCTCACATACAATTTTCCAAGTAGTAGATTCATGCTCAGGGTTCGTCCTTCAGGCGGTGTCGATTTCAACTGCGCGTGAAACAAATTATCGTTAATCTGTTGCCTTTTTCAATTGTTTCGTATATCACAATTGTAGCCAAAGCGTACCACTTCGGTAGCTTCGTGAATACACTCGAGCTCCACATAACACCTGGCCACTTTGAGCTTCACCTCCAGCTCTTGTTCATTCGTCACTACACTCATATCCCTGCAGCTGTGATGATAATATCGCTGTATCAAGGGACGTTAATATTGCAGAACTGACTCGCCAACGTCAGCTTAGCGCAAGACATTATGACTCACAATGGCGCGCTTGAATTCACGGTTGGCAAGCATTAAATCAGCAAATAATCGCAATGTCTTGGCGTGGAACGCTGGCGACAGCCTCCTGGCGTCCATTGCTGCTGCTTCAAAATTCTCTCCATGCCTCCGAGATAGGAAAATCTCGTCTGCTTCCGCTAGAACGTTTTTCTTGCCGTTCTGGGACTCGAAATCTGATGGGAACAGCGCCACAGAGACCAGCAAGTCGCCTAATATCTGGGCCGATTCCACATCCCCGTTGCGAACGAAAAGCTCCAGTTGCTGTTGCACTATCTTGGCATCGAAACCTGAGGGTTGTCGCGTGGCGTCCATGGCTGTAGCGCTCTCATCGCGACGCGGAAGCAGCTCACTAGCCCGCCGCTTTTTACTTGACCTCTCCATTTTGAAAACTGCGCTAAGTTCGTCTTAAGTTCGCTTATAATGGTAATTGTGAAGTATAGATTTACATAAATCTTTATGACTTTGTTAAAAAGAAAGAAGCAAGCCTGAAACATCGGAACAACCACGTAACATCGTCACACTGTCATTTACTAATCCACTAGCTTATTTGTTGTGAAGATACGAAAGTCCTGTGAACAAAGTGCTTTTTAATGGACACTCCCAATTGTCTACAGCTCATCGCTGCTGCGCTTGATGTCGAGCAGCTCGACGTCGAAGACCAGCGTCGCCTTGGCCGGAATCTTCGGAGGCGAGCCACGGTCGCCGTATGCCAGGTCCGACGGGATCGTCAGACGACGCTTCTCACTGCACAGCACATAATATACACAAATAACACTCTTCTCAGCAACAAATGGTTACTCAAAATCAACCGCGAGTTGTCCACGTACCCGATGCACATGTCCACAAGTCTGTACGCAGCCAATAACAGCGCCACACATAATACACAGCAGAACTCGTTAGTTTTTACCGTATTGTATACTTTTAGTCCAGTCTGCAATGATCCCAAAGAGCAACGCACCCACGGTCCCAGCCCTGCTCAAGTCAAACAAAAGATCCACCGACATGACAACAGTAACGTCAGCATCAACCACGTTACCTCCCAAGCAATATCCTCCCCGCAACAATAACTAGAAACCGACCTTAATGACACGGCCAGCGCCGAGAGGGAACTCGAAGGGCTGGTTACGGTCCACGCTCGAGTCGAACTTGGAGCCATCCTTGCGTAGCGTACCCGTGTAGTGCATGGACAGCGTGTCGCCCAGTTCGCTCTTCATGGTGCACTCCTCAGGGCGGTGCTTGACGCCGATACGCAGCTGGGCGTCAGGCGGGAGGTCGTCCTTGGCCTGCACCTGTACGGCCGCCATCACCACAGCCACGAGAAACGCCGTCCACTTCATGTTGAGCTTTACTGCGCTTGGGTTTTTCAATTGTGCACACGTCGTTCCAAGTGGTCAAACCTCATTGGTCAAAACTTGTATCCAATCAGAGCCGGGACAGGCTTTGTTTATTTTTGCCCAATAGTTAATGAATTTGAGAATGCAGTATGTGGTGTATGACATATTCTTTAGTGTAAAGCACAGGCCGCCAAAGGGGCGCCCAGCAGCGGCTGAAAAATACATGTAGTTTTGCGTTCACTTCAAGTCAAGCAGGTATCCGACAAGGACAAGCTGAAGCCACGATCCACTTCAACGTCGTCGCTCGATTTAGCCCATCGCTGGAGCTATGACGACGTGGATTGAAACATTTGCTCGTGCTGTCGAGAACGGTGCCAGTACGTACTTATCATTGCAACTGGATGTGCTTGTACTTATATTGACGGTTTGTTCGTAGCTGAGTTAGACGCGGTACTAGCACGAGAGGAAGCTGTGGACAAGATTCGAGCTGTTTTGGAAGACACGAAAACTGCTACAGTAGAGAACGATAAAGGCATGATCTCGCTTGTGCTTTTGCTGTTGAGAAATGGTTATTGACGTTTGTATATGTACAGCAATTTATCGACTTTTGGGCGCGTGCAGAGTGTTCATGCGCGATCAAAGAGGCATCGACAAGCTCTTGTCCGCTGAGGTAAAGAGAACAGTATTGCATTATAAGCGAGTATATCGGTGCTAATACGAATGGCACAGTCACTTGACAGCTTTATGAAGCTTGCAGAAGATGGGTCATGGAGCTCTCCTCTGCGGGAGGAGGCTCTTAAATGCATGATCAATTCCGTGTACTCTCGCCCAGAATTTGTTTCAGAAACTCTTATTGTTAAGGGGTTCGTCGCGAGGCTATTGAGACTCGCAAAACAAGAAGGCACGGTCTCACTACATTGGCTGGTCTGGAAAGTCCTGCTGGTCTCTGGTGAAGCACCTGAAATTCCACGATATTTGAGTAGCTCACTCGAAGTGTGGCAGCTAATTTACGTGGTAACAACTACAGTGCTTGTCACTAAATGGCTTGCTTTTGGTCTTACCTTTGTTTATCTTACCCCTTCAGACACTGTTGTACGGCTACAAGCACCAAAACCAGGCCTATATCGTCACTGGAGACCGTGCAACGTTGCTTCTCGACTTGGTCAAGTTGATCGCTGTACTTGTAAACGAAATGCAGTGGACAGCAGAGCAGGAAAAACTTCTACCCGACGTTTTTAATACTGTGCATCGGTATGATATTCACAACATTATACTACCCGATTGCTAATATACATTGACTAACGTTATCCACAGACTAGGGCGTCTGCTACTGGAGATTCTACAGTTTAAGCATCCGAATGTATCTCCGCTAACTGACAACCTTCTCGACCTGAAGAACAAGGTGATTGAGGTACTCATGCTCCTTCCGGAAAGTCTTTTGGCAGCATTTATCCAGCAGCAACAACAGGAAAGTGTTGGTCTCAACGACAGATCACTTGTACCAGTGCTGGACCATCTCCACTCGATGTTGCTGGTAGTGCGAGTCGAGAAAACCAGGTAAGCAGGCATACATGATGCAAGTATCAAATGTTTTACTTACACTTACTATCTAGACCACTCAAGGAGATGCTGCCGACACTCATCGTATGCCACAAGCCTGGTTAAGACAGGTGGCCCAGACATCCTCACCTGTTTCAAGAAAGGCCATTCTACCAACTCAGGACACAGAAAACCAGTGCCGGTGACAGGACAAAGGCATTTTTCTTCAAACACTTGAAGTTCTTCCTCACATGTCTAGACACCGACGTTCGTCGCTATGCATCCGAGTGGCTGTTTCTATTGTGCGATGAAAACGGTATGTACTTTTTTCACTTCTCAACTCTTTTTTTTCTTCTTATATCTGGGGGATTTCTCCTCTTGCTTTTTCATTTCAAAATTGCTTCGTACTCCCCTTTGAATAAAATAATTAACGCTTTTCCCATGACGCAGCCAAGGAATACACACACCACACTGGCGTGGGGAACGCTATCGGCTTGCTACGCATGAAAGGCCTCGCGTGAGAGCTCGTTACATATCGCTGACGCTGCCCATGGAGAGCATTCGCTGCTTGCGAATGTGGCTGCTCATCCCCATCTCTTGTAATAGTTGGAATAAATCTCCAGAGTTCTTGATAAAGTACGGCGCTTGCGAAAGTTTGCGACCCAAAGTGCACACGAACGTGTTGACGGGGAAGCGATACCGACCGTCCTCCGCTTCATCGGTAGATACCGACGTCGTTTGACTGGCCGGTTCGCCTTCTGGAAGCTCCTTCGCAGCCACAGTCTTAGGCGAATTGTCTTCAATCTCGCTGCTCTCGTTGCCACTGGCATCAGCCGTCGGAAGGGACAGAGACAAACTACTCGCTGAGCTATTACCCGACGAGTATCCCGGTGCTAACTCAGCTCCAGGACTGGACTTTCCTTCCGGGCTCAGTGCCCCCACGCCATCTTCGAGCTTAGCACGTGTCGTAGGCGGACACACGAGTGCCCAGCAAGCTGCCGGTGTATCTGGGAGTCTGTGGATACCGAAATTGTCTCCATATTTCACCTTCATAGCCTTGAATAAAGCTGCTGATGGCGGAAAGTCACGACGAGGAGTAAACTTGCTCTTCTCAGTGATCTCATCACGTCGAGCATTCGACGGGCGATTCAGCATCGCGACTGGGAACATATTCGCCGCACCTTCAGAGATTGAAGGCTTAGCGAGTGGCGTCAGCTTTGTCATATTCTCTCCTAACATGAGGAAATCCGCGTCATTAGGCTGCGAGAGTCGAGCCAACGACGCAGCAGTCGACAGACCTGCTCGCTCTCCAGATGACACTGCAGCGAGTGAAGTAGAACTGCCGTCTCGACCCAATAGCCGTCGAAAGGCGTTGTAAGACATGTCGTCACTGATATCCCCAAAGCTGGACGATCCGATGCCACCTTCACACTCGCCTGGGTCTTGGATAAAACTTCGACGAGATAATAAAGCAGACGCATCATCTGCATCAGATTTTGCTGCTTCCTGTTGACCGTCAGGCGAGTTCTCGAACTCATCCTTCTCCAGCTGTCGACAATATGCCTCCAGATCAATCGGAGGCGGTACCAAGAACGAGAATAAATCTTCATCCGTTCGGTCATCACCTGAAGCGATGACCAAGACAAAGTCGACGGCGTGTTTGTCGTCATCTTCCAACTGACCTAAAGACAGCGCTCCAGCATCCATAGTAACGCTCACGGAGTCCTTCCGATCTCCACGATACTCACTTCCAATACCGGTATGATCGTCCAAACTGAACGCTGATAAAGTATCTTCGTCTATCGACTCCGTTTTAAACCCGCGTGGCTTTATCATCGGTGACGACGGTGGGTGTACTTGTTCTCCGAAATACTCCGTTGTCACTGGATCTTCGTCGGGGAACAGCAAAGACCAGTTCATAAACTCCCATATGCGTTCAAACAGCGTTGCCTTACTTACTTTTTGAGGTCGTACCTCCAGATACCGGTTACCAGGACATACCGACACTGGGAGCGACCGCGTGATTTCTCGTAAAGACACCAGGAGCTCACTCGCTTGCCATAACCCGTGATCCAGATCACAATCTCGGTAATGCCACGCCACTGAACTCTCCTTCCTCTCGATATACGCACCGGGGGTACGCTCAGTGTAGTATTCCAGCAACGGTACCACATGTTCCCACCAACTCATGTCCATATTAGACACCATACAATGCCAATACTCGTTCTCACCGACCCATTTAACGTACACGCCATACTCTGCTGCAAGCACGAGATTCCCGGAGAGTCCAGCAAACCACTGCTCGCACACTGACGTGCTGCGTGCACTTACTAACACCACCGTATTGCGTGGATCTTTAGTTAACATCGACAGCTGCCAGATAAGCTCTTGTGGTGGATACGCCAGCTCCGGGATCGACGCCTCTGCTGCAAGGACACCTTCGTAATTAATGAAAATGAGTCGTCGAGAGGAGCGCGAGTAAGCTGAAGTCATGTCTCGACGACTCAGCTCACGTCCAGATACAGACAATGCGTTCTCTTCACTGCATTCGTGAAGCTGCTCCAGGAAATTATCTGCCCAGTGCCACGACGTAAATGAACTCACATAGCTGTACATATGCTGGTGAGCACGCATCACTTCGTCGTTGTCTTGAAGAGATTCTTGCAATGCATCCGTCAGTTCTTCGGTATTCCAGGGGTTCACAAGTCTCGCGCCACCCAAAGATTGAGCACAGCCTGCAAACTCACTCAGGATCACACGAGCATGTTTGTCTGTGGCTTCTCGACAGACAATGTATCCAAAGGGGACAGTGTTCATACCGTCGCGTACAGGCGTGATCACTAGTGCGTCAGCCAGCGCGTACAAGGCGATCAGCGCTTCCACGGCGATCTCTTTATTCAAATACTGGACAGGACCTTCAGTCCCGATATCTTGCAACTTGCTGTTAATCCGAGACACGAGCGACTCAACTTGAGACTCCAGAGCCGACTCGTACACGGACGCTCCCGTAACAATCTGGAGAAATACTACTTCTTTCGCAAGCTCCGGTTTGTGCGTAAACAACTCCTCGACTGCAAGTAATTTATGCACCAATCCTTTCGTCTGATCCAGCTGATCCACGCCCAAAATCACTTTCTTGTGTGCGAATTGGCTTTCCAACTGCTTCATTTGTTCCTTAACAGCATCGGACTGCACCATTGCGATGTATTTCTCGGCATCTATTCCCACTGGACATATCGTCACACGTGCGAAATGTCCGTTAAAATCCACCCCTTTGTGGCTGCTTTCCAGTCCTAGTAACCTCACACACGCGCTCTGAAAGTGTCGAGCGTATTCGTACGTCTGAAACCCGATTAAATCCGCTCCCAGCATGCCTGTTAGAATCTCCTCGCGGTTGTTTATAATCCGATACAATTCCGCTGACGGGAACGGAATGTGCATGAAGAATCCTAGACAAATATTGTCATTTGGGAACAAATTCTGCACCATTTGAGGCACCAGCGTCAAGTGATAGCCCTGGATCCAGACCAAGTCTCCTTCTTCGTACACTTCTTGTACGGCATCGGCAAACGCCTGGTTGGTAGCTACGTACGCCTGCCACATCTTCTGCATACTGCGCTCGTCTTCTTGTCCACCTTCCATCGTTTCATGCTGCGTAATTTGGTCGTCCGTTGTGGGTGGACATGAGTGGAACAAAGGCCACATGACGGTCTTGCAGAAGCCCTGATAGTACAGTCGTTCTCTCTTTTCGTCCAGAAATACTGGGTAGTACTTGCGGTCCTGTAGTAATTGTTCTTTCAGAGTATTTTGCTCGCTAGGCTCGATTTCTCCATGCACTGACCCGATCCAGACGCAATCGTAGTTTTCGTGCAGCGATTGAAAGATTTCCATGGCTCCGTTGAGACTCGCGTGCTCCGGGAACTCGGCACGCCATTGCGATTGTGCATCCTCAGATACGAGCCAGAAGGGAAGCGTGCGGGTGACCAGCAGCACACGACGACGCCGTCTCGAGCCCTTGACGCCCTCGTCGTCCGTGTCGTGGTCGCTATCGCCGCTTTCTTGCTCTGCCTTGACGCGCTTCTCTCGCACCTGGTTGAGCTTCGTGTACAGCGCTGAGAGTTCACGCAGTAGCGCTGTCTCGCGCTCCTTAAAAGCAGCACCTTCATCCATCTGCGGCTACTATTATTGTGATGGATGGAGAGACAATTATGAGAAGAAGCGACGAGGCGCGACCGGGACAAGGCGCCGGCCAGCTGCACAGATCCAAGTTTCAGTTGGTTCGAACGCTGCTCGGACGAGTTCGATACGCCACGGTGTGTACGTACAGGCCGACCAAGCCGTAACGAAGTGGTGGAGGCCGTAGGAATTACGGCTGCTAGAAATGACGAATACCATGTTATCGCATAATTTAAAATGCTTTCATGCGATAGGAGAGGTTTTAGTGAGAGCGATGAAAATGTTTTAATACATGTAAACTGATCGTTGGGGGGGGGGGGGGGCACAGCTACTTTGGAAGCACATGTACTGTACTGTACTGCAGTGCAGTAACTGTAGTACAGTAAAACGTAGAATAATTGTAGTTGTCATTGAGTGTTTGCCGCCATGTACTACAGCATCCAAACGGTATCTGCAAGCTGCTGGACCAACGCGCATCCATTTTTGGTGGGTTTGATTGCATTCGCTGCAAGTTTCTTCTAATGCATTTATCTTGCGGTTAATTAAAAAAGCATACAGCGGGCAAGCAGCGTCTTCGAAGCAGCCGGCCGGCCCCCTGTGTGTGACCCTTGTTCCTAGGAGGTCAACATTCACGTTACATTTGCGAGACGAGATAGTAGAAAACGATCATCATGAGCAGGATAAGCGACGCGCCCAGCATGGAGAACATGAGCTTGCGTTGACGTCGTCGCCGCATCTCCTCGAGTTCCGAGAGCAGTAGCACAGTGGGGACGAGCTCCAGGTCGGGGCGTACACGGTACAGCGCCGCCTTTTCCTCAATGGTGAGACGGCGAGGCATGCATCGCGAGGCACAGAAGCCTTCGAGCCTCCGCTTCGTGTCCTCATCCTCGTCGCTGTCGATATCCAGCACAAACTCGACTGAGGTCTGTTTCTTGAGACTACGGCACGAGAAATCAGCCGAGGGGGTTCTCAGAATGGACTGGAGCGAGCCGCCCGTGCTGCTGGCAGTGCAGCTGCCGTCACTGTCGCTCTCTGTTTCACTTTGGTTGCTGTTCTGGTCGCTACCGCCAAGAAGTGCGTCTGATTCGGTAGGGCGTGGGGCCACTGGTACGCCGCTCTTCCTGCTTGAGCCGGCAGCCATGGAGCCGTACACAGCGGTGAGTTGTCGTCGGTTGCCGCTGGTACCCGGCTTGAGCGTGTAGGACACATAACCGGCGCGCTGGTACGGCTTCTGATCACTGGCCATGGGTTTGCCCGCGTCGATCGCCTTATCGTGGACGGACAAGCCGGCCTCCAATGCCAACAGCGGTAAGACCTCCTCGGCCTCCCGACGCGAGTTCGTTCTACCGGTCATGTGCGGAAATCTCAGGAAGTTATGACACCTCCGACAGCTTTTTCACTTATGAGCGGAGGGTTCCTGGCGAACGCAACCGCCGTCGCGACTGCTGGCGGTCACATCTGTCAGCATCTTTCCATTTTGTTGTCCTGATTCGGCAACGCAACGCCAGTGTTGCTTCATGCGAGGTCGAAATCAGAAATGATAAAATACCCTTTTTGCGCAACCAGGGATGTGATCTTTTCGAAACCACGGATTTGCACAACTTTTCCCGAAGTTGGCTCTTTTTACAGGATGACAGACATCGCATTGCGATTCGCAATGCTAAAACGGGGACTGCTGACAGCAACTGCACAAGAACAGCCTACCGAGATAAGAATGACCTTACGGGCTAGAGCGCGTCATGCGGACTGGCCAATGACAAACCTCGCTCTGCTGCTTGGATACCTTCACCTTCTTCTCTCCCTCTCATTTGAATGGCGATCTTTGTCGGGCATAGCCGTGCGATGGAGATCTTACGGTCAGCTTCAACATGGCCTGATAAACCATAGCCTACGAAAGCTACGACATTCGTAACGAATGGCTCGTAACTTATTTTAGAATCGTGATAAACCGCCCTACATGGGTGTAGGATAATGCCTATTTGTCCTAAATTTTACAGGGAGATTTTGGAGATGTGTCCTAAAAAGCGACTAATCCTTCGTTACAGAATATTATAATTTGTGTCCTCCAGATTGTCCTAAACCTCAAATATTAACTTTTTCCGGACTATCTACGTAAATTTACGTAAGAGTTACTTAAAACTCACATTGGCTTTACTTATTGTCCTGGTGCACCATTTCTGAATCTCCACTACTGCAGCCAAGCATCATGGACCATTGCGGCTACTCCTTCTGCAGCTAGGGCGCTCGCCTATCTGGCCTCTGCTGCCACCTGCGGAAGCAGTGTCTTGTCCGCTCTGCTCACGAGCGCGAACATTCAACAGTGCGGCACGGACCACTGAGATCCCGGACCAGGCCACCATTGACAAGATGTGCGCCTCGACTGCCTGCAACACCCTGCTCGCTGACGTGAAGGCCATGAACCTGGAGGAGTGCCAACTGCCGGTCGGTGTCGGTTCCAACCTGAAGGCCGACCTGGTAGTCTACGTGCCGTCCAACTGCCCATCGACGTCGGCTCCCAGCCCGGACTCGCCTGCCACAAACGCACCTGTTGTCGACACCATGACGACGCCAGACAACTCGACGAACCAGGCCGAGCACACTGCCGCGCTAACCAAGACCCCCATCGCTTGCTAACCGCGTCTTCGGATCGACTTGCAGCCAAGTAGCCCTTGCGAGTACTTTGCTGCTTTTTGAGCCCCCCCCCCTGTCGTCACGTTCTGATTATTAACCGTCGTTTGCTATGTGCATGTTGAAGTCGCTCAACCGTTATTAGCGGCTATTATTACCTTCAATGACTATCATCCTTTGAAACACTTTAAAAATATTGTCACACACTTTGTAGTAGAGAAGTTTTGTTGAGGTGCTTTTCGCGCACAACAAAGAATCGGCTGCTCTTGGAGAGAGGGGCTTTAAGATGTTTATTGTTTCTAGCTAGGCCAGTTGAGGATATGGCTTGAGGACAGTGCATGTTGGGCTTGGTGTTGTCCTAATAGGACAGTGGTCTGAGTTGCAGTCTGTCCTAATAGGACAGACTGAGTGTCCAGTTGTCGAGTGTCCTATTAGGACACGCGGACCCTGGCTTGTTTCGTCCTAAAACTCATTGTGTTGTCCTAAATATGGGTTTGTTTATGAGCCGAATTGCTAGTTTTTTATCCCAGGTTTTAGGACAATAGGACACTTTAGGACTTCTAGTAGGACGCATTCTCTCCTACCCCTACATGTGTTGATTCAAGTCAGGACTGCGCATGGATACATTATAGACAAGAGCAGCATTGAGTGCGCAGCAAGGTTGAGCAGGTCGGGTTTGCTAGTAAGCGCTTAGATTCGTTAAAGCTTCGCACAGTGATGGAAATTAGCGACGGCTATAAATATCAAGCCTTGACTCAAGGAAATTTAACACCTCTCAAGTGCTAAACATGGCGATTAAATTGCATCCAGTAACTTTCCGTCGCTCGACTATTACGTCAGATGCTGTGTAGAGCAGTGCAGCGCTCTTGCCGGTGCTGGACAACAATGCTGTCTTGGGAGTAGAGCTGGTGTATTCGAAGATTTACACCTCGACATCCAGAAATGCAAACGACGTAAAAAATACACCCACCTTTGGGTCACTCTTTCGGATTAAGGTGCTGCTGTTTGTGGAGAGCAACCTCACCAAATGTGGCGTTGTTGCTCATGCTCTTCAAGCCCTCAAAGAACGTCCGATGCGCAGGTCGCGCAGCAGCAAGCAGGGATTGGCAATATCGGCAGTGCCCAGACATCAATTACTGCTCCGCGCTGGTTTCGTGCACACGAGTGCTTCCTGTCATTTGGTCGGAACAGGTGCACAAGTTTGGCGCCAAATCAATCTGGCTGTACTGAATTGGCGCTGAATGGGTCTAAAATGAACGATGCGCTGGGCGCGGAGTAAACCTTCGTGGCTTGCCAAGATCCATGAGGATCTTCTTAGAAGTGGGTGTCATGCGCATGTAAATATGGCAGTTGGCAAGCTGAAAAATGGCAGGTTATGACTGGGCTCTCTCACATAGTTTCGACCAATCACACTACGAGAATCGTATGAGTGTCGGCGTGGTGCAACGCGACATCGAGTGCAAAAGATCAGACGTCCGGCGTCGTCGACGTCGAATCAGTGCCAAGGGTCGCGACGTCGACAGCTCTACTTGGGAGACGCTTGAAATCGATCTCGTTTATCCATGGTGGGCGTCACATATCTGGTTCGAGTTGTTTGAAAAGAATGACAGTGGCGAGCAACTTCCTTTTTTGTGTTGATAAGGTGGAGCCCCCACCTCTAATGTTCTTTAATGGTAAAAACCTGTCAGCATTGCCGTCATATTTAAGGACGTCGTCTGCAAAGACAGACATCATCGATCGTGTCAAACTTTTAGTTCCTAACACTTCTCGCTGGTTGCGTCGTTGGGGTTTTGGTTCGACATTTTAAGCGCTTCCAGCAACGTTGGGGGCTGATCTGGCGCAGAAGCGCAGACTGCCCAAGAACCATCTCTAATTAAGTGTTTATCGCGATGTAAGAGCTCGTAGACCTCTTTATACATGCACACCTCTTCATTTTATTGACAAACTATCCATGTTAGTATCGTAACAGAGTGCGAATTTATATGGGGAATTTATAAATCTTCTGTTTTGTGGGTCTTCTTGGCAATCTTCGTCCTCACAGGTCGTTTAGAATTCTGACGTAGCTCGATCACTACTAGACAGGCATTCTGCTCGAAAGTAAACATGAAAGACGCTGTCGTTTCAATGTCCAGATTCCACGTCAATTTCGTCCAGACCACTCATTATTGTTAAGGATAAGAATCTTCAACACATTCAGATTGGTTTTCGTCGCTCGCATTACATGTATCCCTTCATGAGCTGTTTAAGGAATCCTCGATGAGGATCCTCTTTTTGAAAAAAAGACACGTTCGTGCTTTTAAGAGCACCAGCGGCCGTTTGATCTTCTACGGTATCGGTAGCTGAGATATGGGGTTGTCTATTACCAGTAAGCCTTCCTTCGAGGTAATCAGGATTCATGGTAACATGCCACCGTAAGTGTTGCTCAAAAGTTGCCTATGTAGACACGCTCAGGTGTTCCTACGGCGTATGATTTCCCTGTGTAGGTCAGCAAACCCGTGTCAGCATTTATCTTGAATAAGTGCATGTTGTCCGAGTCTTGATTGGCCACCACCATCCAGTCCTCGTAGATCGCAAAGCTCTTCGGTGTTTTGCCACGGCTGCTTTCCCAGCCCAGCAAAACCAAGGTACCGTCTGTCTCGCGAACACTAAACATGGCGATCGAGTTGTGTCCACGGTTTGACGCATATAGGAACTTTCCGTCGCTCAACAAATGAATATCCGCAGCAGTGCTCTTGTTCGTGAAATCGGACGGCAGCGTCGTGATGTTTTGCACAGCCATTCTTTGCAACAGCGCTGTCTTATCATTGATATCATACACACCAACGGTGTTGGAGATTTCGTCAACAACGTAAGCAAAGTTTCCGTTAGGATGTATGGTCATATGACGGGGCCCAGATCCTGGGGGACGTTTGACCGGATGCAGGTTTTTGAGAGCTTTCTGCTTCGTGTCGAGCTCGTACTGAAGTAGTTCATCACTTCCGAGGTTAGCAGCTATTAAATGGTTCGAGTTGGGGATCCACATGGAACTGTGGATGTGACCACTAGCTTGTTGGTCCATGACGACTTTACTTCCAGTCGGGAAATCTTGATGGAAACTCTCCTTGCCTAGTGAGCCGTCGCCATTTAGCGGGAACATGGCAAGACTCCCATCATAATTGGAGACGACAGCGAAGTCCTCGCTGGGGCTCAACGAAATGTGCGTCGGATTTCCGCTGTGTGACTCGACGGTGTTGAGGAGCTCGAGGGTGCCGTTTGATCCCATTGTCAGAGCTGACACATACCCCGTTTGAGTTCCAGGGTTCGTCTTGGATTCGTCGGTGACTGCGTTCACTGCGTAAAGCACAGGCTTGCCTTCAGAAAACTTCTTTGTCGACCCCAGGACGAAGACAGGATTTACGCCGACCGGTGTGATGCCGAAAGGAGTCAATGATCCATCGGTCGAATCGAGCTTGTACGTGTAGACACCCTTTCCAGTACCGACCATCCATCCTTCGTCGCGAGTGTGCGTGCCCACAAATAGGATTGGTTGCGATGCACTTTGTTTCGTTCCTCCTGCTAGAGCATCGGTGGCACCAGCAGCGAGAACAGCGAGCCCCAGAAGAGAATATGGTGCGCGCATCTAGAAAGGACGACGTGTGCGTGTTGGCGAAGTAAATTGAAGAATGAGGCAGTGTCACCATCGAGAGATTTTGTTTGCCTTATCGTCGCGCAAGGATTATCCTCGAAAAGTCCCTCCCATGCGCAGGTAAACACTCATACCGTTACGAAAGTCAGCATCCTTGTGCAGATGAAGTTCATGTGCACAAGAGTGCTGACTCTCACGGTTCATCATGAACAGGTTGTTGTGCGATCAGTATTTACGTGATACAGTAGTTAATAACAAAGCAAGCTTGTACGGATGTATAGTCAGCTAACGTATAATACCGAAAAGAACTACGCGTTGTATAATCTTACAATTAGGGCGTTATAAACGACTTTTTCTCTCATTGAATCTGCACACTAAAACAGTGCTAACAGTTCAGGTGGTTAAGCCTCATTATTATGATCTCAGCGCTCTTGCGGCGTGCCGGCATGGTGCATTTCGCACGCGTTCTATTAATAATAGATGGAGCCATTTTATTCGGTATTATCCGCTTAAATAACAGCTTTTTACACCAGCCATTAAAATAAAGTGTAGATAATACAACAGTATGCTTCAAATATGCGAGGAGACCAGTCAATTCTGTGAGCCTCGAGCAGCAATATAATTATGAAGTTCTGTTTAAAGATGTTTGCATGACCAGCGATAATTTAGAGGTGGTAGTCGGATTGAGCTCATAAACTGACTTGTGTCACACAAGTCAGTAGCTGTGTCCCATATATAACGATCTTCATCGAGGCAAACACCGTTCTTCCTCTTTGTGTTTCTTAACCCCCCCAAAGCGACGGCCTGTATTATACACGTTTCGTAGGGAGGGCTTATCCTGTATAATACACGATAAATGGTGCATGAATGATCTGCTAGTTTTTCACCTTGTTTATGTATACGGTCATACAAACGCTAAGCCAAAGAGGGATAGGTATGTGAAGCCTGATCCCCATCCTTCCTGGTGCGGTGTGCGCAGGCGGTGCATTGCACAATTTTTCATAAAATAAAAATTTAGAGGAAACTCAGCGATATGTGGCTCACGCCAAATCAATATAAGAAACTGCAGGGATTTTCAACGCCACTCATTTTGGCGCTCATTTCAGAAAACTCCCGCTCCCAGTCAGATGTCGGGTTTTCGGGCCCGGTGGAAGGAACTACGGCAAGAAGGCTGGTCTTCCAAGCCTCCTACAGGCCTCTCAAATGACCACACCTATCTGAAGCCCGGTAAAAGCAAGACAGACGTCCGCGGAATAGACTTCTTTGTAGGGGAGAAGGAGCTGATGTCGTATTTGGATCGACTAGACCTTGGTAAGTTGTTTATTCTAATGATGTATTGAAAACTTGAGCCTAACCGTTGACGCGTGTATAGATAAGCTTGCGCGGCAAAAGGAAGATGAACGACAGACCGACGACGCCACACACGCATCTTCGAGGCAAGACGATGGAGCCACTCCACCTGATGACGCTACTACACCTCCAACAGGTATATTTTACAACGCCTGTACATTACACCGTACCTGTCTAACACTATCGTGTATTATGCAGTTAGTACAGTGCGTGAAGAGCCACTCTCAACCACCCCAGTACGACAACAGACGCACCCCAGCTCTCCAAGGCAATCTCACTCCAGTGCACCGCTAATTACTACTTCGCCGCATGAAGCTGACGACGATATCGATGCTTTATTTTCGTCAAGTCCAGACACACCCGGTACGTTTACTGTGCCATCCATACAATTCGAAGGTGTTGTAGCTAACTCTTTTCAACGTTGTATTTTTCCAGTTGTGCCAACCAATTCAAGGCGCAATCTGTATGAACTGTTTGGGTCTTCTGATGAGTCAGATGACTCTAACGACTCTCCGCAAAGCCCCACAAATGTGCAACAGTCCGCAGACGGCGATCGCGTGGACGCGGCATCGAACGCTGCGTTTTCCTGTTCGTCTTTATCTGGTAGGTTCAAACGTGTATGTACACGATATACAATTCCTTTGTATACATGATACACATACATGATAATAACAACTATCATGTATATTTTTAACAGACGATCCTAACATTGTAACGCCCGGCGATGACAAGTATGTCTTTGCAAGTCTTGATTCGGACGAGGAGGGGGGAGGATTCTCTGTGTACGACGATGATGTAAGCTGGAGCTCGCTGAGCCTGATCCCAGCATTGAAGATAAAGATGTCGTCCCACCTGAGCTTCCATTTGATGCGTCTCTACTTGAAGCAGTAGGTGGTGTTCACGAGATTGCACGTGGCAACCTCAAGACTGATGTTTTAGCCGACATGAAGGAGAACAGGTGGTCTCCAGTACACAATCAGACGCCTTACCCATACATGGATGAACCCTACGACATGCGTCGCGATGATTGGGCAAATATTGACTATCTGGATCTATTTCGCGGTGAACATGGACCAACTGCTGCAGCGTTGAGCGCTGCCGAGACCCCAATTGGTGCATTTTTTCAGTTCGTCCCGCCGTACTTACTAGAAAGAATTGCGGGTGCTAGTAACGACTACTTTATGGAGAACCTGGACGCGCGAGTGGAGAGTCTACACGCCAAGCAGCTAGATAGGAAGCTGAAAAGGCCTGATTTCCATGCCTGACCTCCGGATATCATAAAGACTAAGCTGCTGAACACGAAGGACATTTCAGGACGAGAAATTGCTATTTTTCTTGGATTACTTATTGCAAGAACCATAGCTCCCAACAAAGAGAGGTTTGATAATCATTGGAAGACTACAGATGAAGGTGCTATTCCTCGTGGCTGTTTTAACGCATTTATGACTAGAGATCGCTTCTATCATATCTCGCGGAATCTCCACTTTAGCAGCAATGCTGACGCAAGAGCGCATTTCGATCGAGCTTGGAAACTCCGCCCGGTGATTGACGTGCTGCAAGAAACATTTCAGGCCAGTTTCATCCCACCTCCAATAATGGCGTTTGACGAAGCGATGCTTCCGTGCACGTCTCCGTTCAACAAGATGAGAATCTTCATGAAGGACAAGCCCCATCGCTGGGGCACAAAGCTTTTTATGCTGTGCTGTTCCAAGTTGTGATGCATCAGGTAAGGAAAAGAGCGTGCCTTCGGGCACGCTCTTTTTTTTTTGGTTTCAAAGTTACCTTATCGTGTCTTCGGCGTGCTAAAACCTTTTGAACTATTGTGTATATTACAGGTTTGAAGTCTATTGTGGAAAGCAACAAATGCAAGACAGTAGCACACCCAGTGATGAAAAATCGGGACCTGCCGCAGTCGTACGGAACTTACGTCAAGTCTTTGGCGTCAACGGACCAGCTGAGCGACGTCTCATAGTCACCGACAGGTTTTACACCTCTGTCGTGCTGGCTATGCAGCTGCTGACCATGAACTTCTACAGTTTGGGCACAATAATGACGAACAGAAAGGGGCTGTCAAAGCAATTCTACCAAAGAAGACTAAAAACGGCAGGAAGGAATCAAAGAAGCGACCAGCACAGATCGTCACAGGAACGTATGACGTAGCCACCCCTCCCAAAAAGGTGCCATCGATCAAGGGCCGTCCGTTGTGGGATAATCAAGCGGTGTATCTGCTTGCTGCTGGAAGAAAGTGCAGTACCAGACCGTATCGTGCGTAGGAATCCCAGTAGCTGGAGATCAGACAGAGTTGATGTGTCCACGGATCGTTAAAGACTATCAGACTTTCATGGGCGGAGTCGACGTTCACGACCAGTTACGTCTACAACGGCAAGTATTAATATCCTGTATATACACGTTGAAGTCATCGTTTTAGCATGTATTGTACGTATTATTAGGTATTCACTGCAATTGGCTCGGCGCTACAAGAAGTACTACAAATCTCTCTTTCTGGGACTGATAGACATGGCTATCATCAATGATTTCATCGTGCACAGTTACCATCGCGCGGCAACCGGGAAGCCAAGGGTTTCCCACGTGACTTTTCTGAAGACGCTTCATCTACAGCTCTGTCAGTTGCTACCGGAAGATTGGGTGCAGCTTCTTCGCCACCGCGGGCATCACGCGACGCCAACGCGGGCACGACAAGCTCGAGCGGCGCACATGCCTGTACAGGCCGACGAGTGGCGCAAAGGAAACTCCGATAAGACGAGAAAGCGTAGGCAGCGTGCGTGCAAGGTTTGTTCGGTGCTAAAAGGCGCTGCCACGTCTCGAGGAGGGGAAACGACATTCTACTGTGCTGAATGTAAGCTGAAAACAACATCAAGACACGAGTTAGCCGCACGCGTATTCCTCTGCAGCAAGGTGAAGCATTGCAGCAAAGGCAAACCTACTTCGTGCTGGGATATCTGGCATAAACACTAGAAAAATGGGACTATGATCCCTCAATCAGGACGCAAGCGCAAAATTCGAGCCCGGAAGCCCGCACGCGCTGCAAGTGACGGTGGCTCTGATGCCAGCGACTCGGAGTCGCAGTCTAGAGCTGAAATCGGAAGTGTTTCCTCTCAGGTCGTTCGGGATGGCGGCCACACACCAACGATGACGGCATCTAGTGAGATCGTCGTCAGAGCACATGTTCCGGCTTCAAAAATAACTTGATTTGAATATATGTTTTTTGTGCAGATCGCCATGTGGAATCCTTCTCTAAATATCGACAAAAATATGACCCGTCACTCCCCGCTAGATGTGTTTTTGTACAAATGTTGTGTTGTCTTTGTTCACTCAGGACACGATATCAGCGTTATCGCGTACAGTGCAGCCATGTTAGTATACCTGATACACGATATCGAGAAATGAAGACCCTAGGGGTGGGGCGCTGTACCGACTCTGTTAAATACACGATAAAATATAGCTGGGTCTTACTATTGTAACCCACTATCCATAACGTGTATGGGGTTTCGGTAAATAGGCGCAACGAAATCCGCTCGCTTTGGGGGGGTTAAAAAGACGATCTGATCAAACTGACATGTGAGCTTGCTGTTGTCACGGTCATCAATGTTTAAACAGAAAAATTAGGTCACAAGCAATACATGATACTCATTTCTTATATTATCTGAAATTTAACCCAGAACAGTTCTGACGCAGAATATTTCAAACTTGGAAATTTAGACTACTTGGTATATGTATGAATAAACAGTATTGAAATCTTAAAGTGCTTACGTAGAATTGCCCTTATACAATAGAAGATCAATTCTACGTCTATAAATTGGTATGTTTCATTCAGCATACAAAACTAACCGAAAGATAACTTCTTTAGTCAGGTAATTTTCGCCTGGAACGTTAAAAACTGATAGAAATGTTCATTGGAATTTTAGAGAAAGGGCACGATGCACTAAAGCGAGCTGTAAAGGTGTCAGTATCGAGCCGATTGAGCTGCTAAAATTCAATTCTTACGTCGTTGATAAGATGCTAAGCTCAAGAGGGGTCGATGCCTTCTCCCAATGCTGTTTACTCAGGTCTACGAGCGTGAAAACCTCCAGTCCATGATACCATATGTTGCTCAAAAGGACGGGTTTTAGACCAATAAAAAAACGTTTTAACGTTTTTTCTCGTTTGATTCGCGAAAACCCACAGACGACCAATCAATAAACAAGACTGCTACAGTCGTGCACCTCCAATTCGGCACCGGTATCAGTCGATACCCTGCCAGATTTTATGATTACGCAAATCGGATGCGCAATTACCTTTGCCCATCACCACCCTAGCAATTAACCTCAACGGTTTTCCCCTCGATGACTCGCCGCATCGATCTGATTTTAAATTTTGGATCGGACGTCTTCATACAAACACACACTTTGATTTTTACCACCAAAGACAATGGGACATCGCCCTTCCTCCTACATGTCCCTAACTCTAGCACAAAAGTAGTCTTTGTGCGAGAAGCACAAGTCAGATCCTGCATGCTCTCACTCCAAATTTGCTCGTTGGGCAACGGAGCGCTTTTAAATCCCCCAAGCAGTAAAGCGCACTACCGTCCAGAGTATTCTTAAGCGGTCGGCGGACGTTGCCGTCTTGCCGGATGCCTATCGCGACCGGAAGCGCTGTTGCGCGCCCGCGATTCGCACGTCTGACGCCAAGATTATGCAGAAGATTGACGAGCTCAAGACTTGGCACGGAGACGCAAATATTCAGGGCTCTACGGTACTAATGATTGCTCAGCGTGAAGGAGTACAGCTACCCGGAGGCAATGCACCTAGTCGAGGGTGGCTGTACCGCTTCCAGCAGCGCACAGGGCTGTGGTTTTCGCAAGCTCCCGCCTAATACAACTGCCGTCCTGCAGCCCATGGACCAGGGCATCATTAAGTGCCTGAAGAATGAGTACCAGAACAATCTGCAAAGACTATTAGAAACTGTTGTGTGCCACACAGGCATCGTCTCAAAACTAAACGTAAATTTTGTACTGAATTAACAAAAACGATATCAGTGCACTGGATTTGCGTTTGTTTTTTGCTTTACGTTGTGCACTTATGCCCTGCCACTGTTGATATGGTCCGCCCTGCCGAATTGGAGGTGCAGGACTGTACATCAGTTTACAAATTCCCATAGGACCAAAAAACGTGGTGTATACAGTTCTGCGACAGCTACTGTAATGCTCAGATCACATTAAGTTACCACGAGAACCATTGTGCGTTTTAAGTTTACTACCGTAATTCTACTACTACATGTAGTACAGTACAATATACTACTGTAGTAGTATTAAATTATGATCACTGTGACCGATTTCAATCTGCCGGTGTAAATTTCGGCCACCTGCTGATGACATGGACATCGGCTAGACCTCATTTGACTTGACACGAGTAGGCAAGCATGAAAGCTAGTGTATTTACAGTAATTGAATGCGTTGATGACATTCAGCAACAATGAATGATGGTAACTCAACAGCTAGTTAGTACTCCGCGACGTAGAGACTGACAGCTCCATCAATCTTGTACGAGTTGCCAGTGTACGTCAAGGCTCCGGTCTCACCATTCACCTTAAACACGTACATGTCGTCCGATATTTGGTTCGCCACAATCAACCAGTCTTGGTAAATCACAAAGCCACGAGGCGTCACACCACGGGAGCTCTCCCAATTAAGAGCCTTCAAAGTGCCGTCGGCGTTGATCTTGTACGTGACGATCGAGTTGTGGCCGCGATTCGACACGTACACAAAGTTTCCGTTGCTCGAAAGGTGAATGTCGGAAGCCGTGCTAGTGTTGGTGAATCCAGCTGGCAATGTCGTGACGTTCTGGATAGCGGAGCTTGATAAGAGTGCCGCCTTCTTGTCGATCGTGTACACTCCGACGGTGCTGGACAGCTCGTCGGTGACGTAGGCGATATCTCCCTTCGCACCGATAGCCATGTGGCGAGGTCCGGATCCAGCCGGGCGCTTCACAGTCGCCAGACTCTTCAGCGTCTTCTTGGTCGCGTCCAGCTCGTACTGAAGAAGCTCGTCACCGCCGAGGTTGGCGGCAACAACGTGGTTCGAGTTCGGCAACCACGTGGTACTGTGGATGTGGCCTGTAGCTTGGGTGTCCATCACGACCTTGCTGCCAACGGGGAAGTTCTGGTAAAACGACTCAGCACCGACAGAGCCATCAGCGTTAAGTGGGAACAGAGAGATGCTGCCGGCGTAGTTGGCAACTGAAACGAAATCCTCTTTGGGGCTAAGAGCGATGTGGGCAGGAGACGCACCCTTCATCTCCTGCGAGTTGATGACCTTCAGAGTGCCGTTCGATTGCAGAGTCATCGCCGACAAGTAGCCAGAGGAAGATGCGCGGTTGAGGGCGTAGATGACACGCTCACCTTTCGAGAACTTCTTCGTCGAGCCCTGGACGTATGTCGGGTTGAGGCCCTTAGCTGCGAAGCTAAGAGGGGTGATTCCGTACGGCGTTAGGGACCCGTCGGCAGTATTCAGCTTGAACGTATTTATACCGTTCGTGGTTTCGTTTGTCCAAGTAGCGGCGAACAGAATCGGCTGCGTGGCCGACTGTGTTGGTGCAGCGGAAACAGCGGCCACAACCAGGGATGCCGAATATTGCATTTTTATCTATTGCTAATCAAAGCAGAAAATAAATAATTGGGTTAGGGAGCTGACTAGACCAAAATAGATTATTGAACTTTCTCAACTCAGAAAATAGATTATTGGTGCAGCAATATTGGTACACAGCGAGGGCACAAGTACTAAAGAATCCATGGCTAGTTTGCTTTTAATAGCGGTCAATAAAGTGTTTGCTAGTGGTCAAAAATAGCTCTTTGTGTTTGCTGGTGCCCATTTGTGTTTGCCAATGTCGTATAAGTGTTTGTCGTCGGCCAAAAACATGTACTGTTGTATACTGGCATACCAGATTCTCGGCCGTAAACAAACAAAACATGTACATGCAGTGTTGGCATAAAAATACTTGAAATCTTTTATTCAAATTATAATATAAATAAATAAAAAAATTATTTTATTTTTATTTTTATGCATTTTTATCTTTTTATTCACCCAAACCCGTTAAATCAGATTGAACAGCTAGTGAAGGTGCTACAGCGGTCTCGCGATTAGTGGCCTGTGTAGGAAAGTGTCATCGCAAACTTAGCTTCGTTGGTGCACTGCGAGATGGCTGTTGCGCACACGACGGCGGACAGGTGAAGGTTGCGAGGCTCGAAATGCGAGCAGCTCCGCATGCATCAGGTGTCTGTTGCTGGGGCGCCGCCCGAGGTGGAGGGTGTGACTGCTGTGCGTGACAACATGACTGTCGAGTTCGGGGCACGAACAATGACACGACGCTGGACGAACGCTCCGTCAGTGCGTATGTGTTCCGTGACTACTTCTTGGATGCGGCTGTGCTTCAGGTACTTGAAGCACAGACGGAAGACAATCCTTTCCGCTTATTCGACACCAAGTGGATGGCATTCGCGTCGCCTAGCGGACCTGCTCGGGTCTTCTCGCCTAGAGGTCACGCGGACTACGAATACGCCAAGACTGTGACTACCGACGAGGGCTACAAAGTGCTCGTCAAGGTTATACAGTCCATGGAGACGACGTCCTGCCCCGGTGACACGGATTGTGGGCCATGACTGTTAGATTTCAGGAAAATCAAAGAATGAATTAGATGATTTATCTGCGCAATCCAGAGGGAGTGGGTACCTATCTAGCGTCATCAGAGGTACTACCGTGATTTCTCCTTTTTGTGTCATCAGTTGAGTTGACCAGTTACAACACTTCCCCGCAACTCAGCTTGAGTCAGATGAAGGGCGAGTCCGATCCTTGTGCGATGGTCCAGAAATCGTTTCGCTCCGAGTGCTTTTGTGAGTCCGTCGGCAAGCATAGTAGCTGTAGGGCAATATTCCAGTTTGACGCTGCCATTCTTGTACGCGTCTTTGATCGAATGGTACATGACATCAATAGTCTTTTGAGCTTCCGATGTCTTGCCGCTCGTAATTCGGTGAATGGTAGACTTGTTGTCTACGAGTACGAGGAGTTGATCTTCTTCGCGACTTTGTCCAATGGCATTCATGAAGAGCTGAATCCACGTGACCTCCTCGACTCCCATTGAACATGCGATGAATTCGGCTGCAGTAGAAGACTTCGCCACCACAGATTGCCGCTTGCAGATCCAATGTACTGTGCATCCATACACTTGGACAAGATCTCCAGAGATCGATTTTCTGTCGGTGATGTTGTTCGCCCAGTCTGCATCAGTGAGCGCTTTGATTCTGGGGACTTGACTGTTGCGGCGATAAGTAAGTGCTGCTGATCTTGTTCCCCAGACATAGCGTAGAATCTTCTTCACAGCATTCCAGTGATTCACAGTGGGTTTTGCAGCTCGTGCGGCGACTTGGTTGACTGCATACGCAATATCCGGCCTTGTTACTCGGCTGAGGTACAAGAGAGCACCTACAGCTTGTTTGTAGGGAACTTTAGTGGCAAGAGCGTCTTTTTCTTCGCCAGGGTATAGTATAGTGCTCTGATCCATAGGAATTTCCCAAGTACGGCAATTGTCCATGGCGAAACGCTCACAAACTTCAGTGACGTACTGTTCTTGGTCGATAGTCATCACACCAGAGTCCATGTCCCGGGTTATACGCATTCCAAGAAACCACGATAATTCTCCCAAGTCCTTGATTTGATATTTCTCTTCCAATGCTTTCATCAGTTGCTGCATATCTTCGATGCTCTTGTAGCCCACCAGGATGTCATCTACATAGACAAGTACGATCAGGACTTTGGTTTGGTGCTTGTAGACACACGGATCCTCTTGAGTAGGTTCTAAACCAGTAGATCGCAAAGTTGTCGAGTTCGATGTACCACTCTCGACCGGCTTGTTTTAATCCATACAGAGCTTTACGAAGTAGCCAAACCTGACCAGGTTCTCCTTCTTCGAAGCCTCGGGGCTGTTTAACATAAACCAACTCACGAAGGTTAGCTTTAACAAATGCAGTTGGGACATCACCTTGTCTGATGAGGAGTCCAGAGTGGTTACACTCGGCCAGGAAGACCCGAATTGAAACGAGTCGCGCAACGGGCGCGTACGTATCAATATAGTCAATCATGTAAATTTCTTGGAAGCCTTGCGCGCAGATCCGGGCCCGTAGTCGTTCGACTTTGCCATCTGCATGGCGCTTAACTTTGAAGCTCATAGTTGTCCCGATAACATGAGCACCTGCAGGGGGAGTCACCAGTGTGAACGTCCCATTTGATCGTAGTGCTTCGATCTCAACCCGTATGGCTTTTTCCCATTTTGACCACTGAGGGGAGCGCCTCGCTTCCTCCAATGTCAGTGGTTCCTGGATCACTTCCGTCATGGCTAAGAAAGCGGCTCCAATGTTACGGCTGGATATCCGCTCCGATCGTCTCCGCCTGGTTAAATCTGTAGCCCCATTGAGTTCCTCGACAAGTGCCGTTGTATATGAAGCTGCGTTTCTTTCCCGTGTTCGGTCGTCCTCGGTGGGAGCGGATGTCCTATCCGTTGGTCTTACCCGCATTGAGTCGCCGCTGGTTGTGGTTGAGAACTGTTCTTGTAGAGGGATCATTGGAACACCTGGGTACTGTGCTCTTGGGTGTTTCAACGGTGAACCCAGGAACTTAACGTCGCACGTATTCACAATTCTTGCTCCACCTTCTCTCACGTATACAAAGTAACCCTTGCGTTGTTCATCATGCCCCACGAATGCTCCCCTTTGGCCTACTGGTCGAAACTTGAACAAAGTGCTGCGCTTTCCGGGCGGTAGAAGCACTGTAACGCTTTCTCCAAAGGTGTGAGAGTCCGACAGGTCCGGCATTTTTCCATGGTACTTAGCGTAGGGCATTGTCGATGGTTCGCTGCGTGAAGTTACTCGGTTTCTCATGTATGCAGCAGCTCGGACAGCGTACTCCCATAGGTTGTGGGGTAAACCAGCTTGGATCAACATTGTCCGTGCCGCCTCGATGAGTGTTCGGTTTGTTCTTTCCACTACACCATTCTGGTAGTGTACGTCGGGCTCAGAAATTTGTCGTTCCAGGCCTGCTTCATCACATAGAGTATTAAACTCCTCGTTGATGAATTCCCCTCCATTGTCCGTTCGCAGAACACGGATTTGCCTTGAGTCTTCACGGTTTTTAATCATAAGTAGGAACTTTCTAAAGCACCCCACAGCTTCATCCTTCGTCTTGATAAAGTACACGTGAGTATAGTTCAGCCACTTGATTACCAGCATGTAGTGGTTCCCATGTATGCTTCGCTGGTACTTCCCTGCAAGGTCTGCATGGCAAGCTAGATCCTTCTCTTCTTGAGATCTTGTACTCCGACGAGGTGCCGGGCGACTGGATATCTTGCCGAGTGTACAGTCTTCACATGGATGGTCCGGGATTTTTCTGGAGCCGATAATCTTCAGACCTTTTACTAACCCACTCCTTTCAAGCTCAATAACGCCTTGGTAGTGTAAATGCCCAAGTCGTCTGTGCCAGTCCTCAAGTGAGTTTGGGTCGCTGAAGACGTCGTTGCCGCCGCCACACCATCTTCTGCACTCAATCTGGTATTACTTTCTTCTTGGTAGCCATAAACTCCATTAATCATCTTTCCTCGGAAGAGCGGAGGGCCGTAGACTACACACCCATCTTCAGTAAAGTCACACTTGAAGCCACGCTGAGATAGTTTCGATACTGAAAGTAGGGTTTTCTCTAGACCTGGTATAAACACTACTTCGTCAATTTTGGTCCCTTTGGTCCCAAATAAGACCAGTGAGCCCCATTGATCACCTTTCATGACATGCCCATCCGGAAGTTCCACCTCGTGAGTTGCACATTGCTGTAGATTAGTCAGCAGCTTCGCTTCCCCAGTCATGTGGTGAGAAGCTGCCGAGTCAATGTACAGCGGAAACTTTTGAGTTCCAGGGTCAAACGGAAATAACTCGGTGTCCGTCAACACCCCGTGTCTTCAATCATGGTTTTCGTTTTGTTCGCCTTGAACTTCACGGCTACGGGCTTGCTGGGCGACATGACGATCGTGGTAGTTTGTCGTGTAACCTCGTTCATTGCATGTCTTGCACAAAGCGTCTGAGAAGTCCCAACGGGGCCTAGGGGCCTTGGCAGTAGTAGCTGAAGCGCTGCCACTAATTCGGGGTTTCTTGTCACTGCCGTCTCGGCTAAAATCTTCGCTGCGTCGCTTGTTTGGGTTAATTTTTCCATCACTTTTGGCTAGTTTGGTCAGTAGGACTACTGCGCTTTCAAGTTCTCCGGTAGCGTCCTCCGCTTCTTGATCAAGTTTGGCTTCTAGATCAACACGGAAGCGAGGGTAAGCATGGTTGATGAAAGTACTCAGCGCCTGCTGCTCAGTATACGAGTTGGCTTTGCCACGATTCAGCCCTGCTGCAATCTGGGAGAGTCGGTGAGCATAGGTAGCATATGTTTCCTGGGGAAATTTGCGTGTGTTCGCCAGAGTGACTGCAATCGTCTGCACCGGGAGCTTACACCGGAAGTTCTCCATGAACTTGTTCGCGAGGTCACAGAAAGAGTCCTTCGGAAGGTTAGAGCTGTTGCGGTAGTACCAGGTACCAGCTTCACTCGTGAGTCGGGAGGCAAGAACACCGCACTTCACCGTTTCCGGCCACTTTCGCTCCGTGAGTGTCTCTGCCAGGTGTATCTGTACTTTGAGTCGTTCCAACCAATCATAAGCGCCAGGGTCTATGAATCCATCCTTGGTCGATCCATCAAAGGGCTTAATAGTGATCAATTTGAGGTCTATCTTCGTTCTTGTCGCGTGTGTCCCCACTGCTCCACTTTTAGTCGTTGGAGCAGGCTCATCTTCCACTTGTTCAAAGTCTGAATCATCGTTTGAAGACATGGTAGAAAGGAAATCGAGTCTTGCGGCTGTTAACCTGTTAGATTTCAGGAAAATCAAAGAATGAATTAGATGATTTAACTGCGCGATCCAGAGGGAGTGGGTACCTATCTAGCGTCATCAGAGGTACTACCGTGATTTCTCCTTTTTGTGTCATCAGTTGAGTTGACCAGTTACAACAATGACAAGCCGAGGGTTACCCTGCCGTAAACAGCGTGAAGTTGTGCAAGAAGTGCATGTTCAGCATCCGCCAGGAGCGCAAGGGAACGATGAGAGAGGATACGAACTTCTACGCTGCTCTTACCATCATCAAACAGTTCCCTTTGGTACTGCAGGGCTCGCTGGCCGTCAATATTGGACTGAGGCCGGGTTCGATGCTTGTATTATTCCCAGGTGGGCGATACGTAGCCGACATGAGCTGCTTAACAACGCAGAAAGAGGAGGAGCTAAAGAGGGCGATATCGAGGAAGCGGACGAGGAGTACTCGGCTCGTGTGCAGCGCATGCGGAAGATTCACATGGCACGGGAGAAGAAGAAGAACCAGCGTCGTAGTATTCTCCCCTACGGCGAAGACGACGTGAACACCGGAGAAGAGTCTCCACCAGCTAGACCCAGTCACCCCTTCCACAGCAGTGACAGCTCGTACAACTTTGACGATTTCTTACTGCCGACGTCCAAGCGTGACGAAGATGAAGAGCCAAACCGCCTCAGCCGTGGCCGAGGGGTGAGCTCTACTAACCAGAGCGACTCGATCCCTCCTTCAGTTCTTCGTCGACAATCCACCGCTGCTCGCCAGTCTGAAAGCAGCTTGAAACTTCGGTCACTGTCAATTCCGAACCAACTGGAGCAGGTAGAATGGTCAATCGCCCATCAGGAGGCTTTGATCCGCTCAATTGCCGAGCAACGAATTAAGATGATCCATTCTCCTGAAGATGATACTGTTGCTAAACTACAGCAGGTGCAATTTGGAAAAACGACATGGTAATACATATTCAAACGATTTACAGCATTGTGAAGTCAAGCCGAACGCGAGCACTGGTGCGCAGCTGTGCAAGAGAAACCTTCCGCCCTCTTAGTCCCTTCACAACTATGCTCTCTTGTGGGAAATTTCTGTCATCTTCATCAGGAAAAGGGACACGCTCGGGGAGTGGCGTATCTTCTTCAATGTCATCTTCAGCAGCTTCGTTGCGGTTTACGACATCAGCCAGGGCAAAAAGATCCTGCAGGTCAGTATCGTCACCGTCTTCCATAGCTGACAGAACTGATTCCCAGTGAGCTATGATGTCTGTTATGCTGTCGGCATTTTCATCTTCGTTCGCCACGGCTACAGGAGAAGTCGCGCTGGTTTCAGCTCCATTACTTGATGTGGAACTTCGGCTTTGTGGTGTGCCAAATGCCGTTGTCATAGGCGGTTCGGTCGACGGGATAATGCGCTTTGCTGGACTTTCGATCTCGTTGCTTGATCGTTTATCCCGCACATGCTTCCGAACTGCAGCAATCTTGCGTGCCTTGTCGGGGTCCATGCGGTTACGGAGTGCCGTGTGAATAAGACCAAGCTCCGAAAAGTAACGCTCACATGTGGCTGTGTTCACCGTAATCGAGAGCACAGCTATAGCCAGCTTTGGGAGGCAATGGTCTGGGTAGGTGTTTTTCCAATGGCGTTAAAACGCTGCCAAAGGTGGCATTGAAGATGCTTTGAAGTGACTCAGATCTTTGGGATTGCTGCCCATGTACGATCCCCCGAGCCAATCATCCAGTTCTCCTGCAAGTGTATCGCGAAGCTCGCCACCAACAAGACGTCTGTAATAGTACTCTGCAATGTTGCAGATGCTCTGGTGTCCAGAGATCTTGGTTGCTACCAAACTTACAGCGTCATGGTAGTACGCGGGATGTAAGTAGAGGGCAAGCATGAATAACGGCTGTTCGCATGCTGCCCACCTAGCTTCCACTAACTTGAGTAAGTCGTCGCTGTAACTACTTCCTCGAAACTGTTTGTACAGATCGCGAAAAACAATAACGACATCGGCGAGCGTGTTTTCGTCACTTTGAAGCTTGAATGATGCGAAACAGATCGGGTAGACGACACGCTCTGCCTCCTTTAGCGACGACCAGAATTCATCATCTTCAAGAACGGATAGTGTCGAATTGAATTCGGCATCGTCTCGATACTTTGCAGCAAACATTCGTAACGCAGTTTTGACCCTTAAAATCGACGCGAAACACCCCTGCATTGAATTCCAGCGCGTTGGTGAGAGGGTCAAAAATTTCCATTTTTTCCCGTACGTCTGCAGCATAACTTCTTGAACCCGAGGTAACCATTTCGACGACGAGGCGTTTAGATAGTTTACGACCGATTCTGCTTGTTTTGCCACCTTTCGAAAACTATCGATACGCAATACACTTTTCACAAGGTTATTCATGTCATGTGCGAAACATTTTAAGAATACAACCCCTGGCCACCGTAGAGCAAGAATCCTTCTTGCGCGGCCACACTGTCCAGCATCGTCCGTCACAACACCACCAATATTCCACCCTTTCTCCTGAGCTTCGAGCAAAATTTTCTCCATTTGCGAAGCCAGCGCGAGACCATCATGTCGTCGAGAACCAGTAGTAAACAGACCAAGAGTAGCAATCACTCCAAATAATATCAGTTGAGCTCCCAAAAGATGTAGTTTGGCGATATTTTGCCAAACATCGCTGATAAAATTGACCCGCCCGCCAGATTTGTTCTGTAAATCCAGAACTCGTAAAGATTCTTGGCTGGACACTTCAGTAGCGTAGGCATTCAACATACGACCACCAAGCGCCCTACGGTTTGGCATTGTCGACAACACTGCAGTTCATACTCGCAAACAATCGGTGCGTTGTAGGGTCATCGATAAAGGAGTCAGGGGCGATGTTGTGCTTGATATTCCACTAAACATTTCCGCATGTGCTCAACTTGCGCGTTCGAGAGAGGCGCGCAGGGTAATCCTTTGCTGCTTGCGTGTAGCGCTGCAGCTTGATCGAGATGTGTAGCTGCCTTCTGTGACATTCGCGCTGCTGGTGTATGAGGACAGACCTCTAGATGCCTTCTTAGCGCCACCACACTACCGTGTATCTTCTTGGTCTCGATATCTTGCGCCGCTACTTCATCTACCCTTGCCAAACCCTCCTTTGCAGCCTCACAGTGTAGACAAACGTGGAAAACCTCTCCGAAGTTGTTGGAAGGCTCGTTCGGCAGGGCTCGAAACTGCATTCGAACTCGGTCTGGTTTCCTCCCCATTATGACCTTGTACGCACTGGCGGTAGAGGTGAGCTTTGAGAGCGTACCAATAGCAATGAAGTTCAGCACCAGCTCTGGGGAGAAGTAAAACCCACTCGACTATTCCTCCTTCACGTCTAAAGAGTTGGAATGCCGACAACATACCTCGTCGTGGTCCTCTAGTCTCATGGACCTTGGCAACTTCCCGGATTCCAGGACAGAACTTCTGGCGAAAGTATCTCGGGTTACACCCGAATAGTGCGCTGTAGCTTCAAACTTACGTATACAGAAAAGCAGTGTTCAGGAATCGCACCTATACGAATAAAAAGATATTTTTTTTTGATATTTTTATTTCTTGAAAAAATATTTAAATATATTTTTTGCCAACACTGGTACATGTAATTGATTCCAGCCGCTGTAGAGGAATTCAATGCGACAACAACGCTCTGACTCTGAGTCTGTGACTCACATACCATTGTTGTCGTGTTGAATATTTGTAAAGCTAACTGTTGCGCAGAATTATTAATAGAGGTCACCGTGAGCTTGACGGTACTGTATCAGATATTACGGTACGTGTAGCGAACATTCAGCAGCAGAAACGCACCCCGCACATTGCCGGCGATAGACAAAAATATCTTTTCACAGAGGAAACCCGCAAAATCACGGAGAGAGCCTTTTTCTATTCTTCACGCATTCCACATGGCAACGTGCAAAAGTCAGCTACATTTGGACCCACCTATACAGTACAGTACAGTACTGCACCCCGTTTTCGCGGGGGTGGACCATATAGGATTTGCAAATAAACTAGATCTTAGCTTACAAATTAATGCTCATTTGGGTTCAGAATCATCATATCCAGAAGTTTATTAAAGGTCCAAGGGCGCGAAAACGGGGTGCAGTACTGTACCTGTATTGGCAAAACCCATATGGTTCTCAAGCATACTGGCACCAAATATCAAAAAATATGTTGGTAGTACTATTACTATTTTGGTTTTTAATTATCTTACCCTCTGTGAGCCAAGGACTCACAAAAAAAAGAACTCTTTCGGTCAGGTTCTAGAACAGCAGTAGGCTTAAAGACTGACGAGCATTTGCTCTAGTACTTCACTGTGACACAGTCAAAGGCGATCGAGATGGAAAACTGCAAACCGTTACAGTTGTTTAATGTCGATAGCGTAAGCAAGGTATTTGTTCTTGTTTTCTGCCGAAAGTTTGCCTCTCTGAAAAACGGACGGGTACGCGTAACCGACTTCCAGGTTTGGTTGGTTATGGTTGTCCGAGCTCACCAGAGGATTATATGTTTTTGCATGTTTTTCGTTATTAAGAATTTTGGCGACGGCTCGCGCCTTCAACCAGCTTATTTTGAGCGGAAATATTAAATAAGAAAATGATTTTTCACCTTTTTAATTCTTTACATAAATTGCACGTAATTTCCGGTTAACCGATCGCTAATTTCGTCCAGCCGAACGGTCCGTACGGCTGGCTATGGTCATCCGAAACTCCATGACCATGGCTTTCGGACGGATACAACTAACCGGAAAATTACGTTTGCGACCTCGGCTATCAGGTGATTTTATTACTATATTAACTTCACCGATTTTGGACTTACCATTAACCCCTGCAAGCTATTAATAGCCAAGCCGCCCAAATCCGCCTGCAGATATGCATTTGCCTTTATTTAAGCCATATTGCTACTTGGATTGCACGAGTTTAGGTAAATCTGATGGCAGATATGCGCTTGCTTCATTCAGAACACACCATTTACTATTAACTCTACTGGCAGAATTGCGTCACTGAAAGAAATATGCTGGAAGCTATGTACTTGCATTCATTTAAGCCATGCTATTAAATCTGTCGGCAGAATTACAATACATGTGGCCGTAGCAAATCTGCCGGCGGATATGCAGTTGCTTTCATTTAAGCCATATTATGACATTTTTTTGGTCACTACCTTGTTGTTGCTGGGCGCTGACGACCGACGTAGCTGCAGTGAAATCAAAGCAGGCAGACCAGCGTTGTGCCAATTTACATTGAATAATTGATTGAGATTTGCTTGGACGCCACAATTATAATTGCCCAATGTCGATATTGTATTGCTCACTACAGCCTCACTACTCATGCCATCGACTACAACGCCATGTCTACCACAAGCTCCGGTTAGCCTTTAAAAACACAAGCATTTCCAGTGTCGCCGGCCTCATCGCTCGCCGCTGATCAGTGAGAAAGAGCTTTGACTTGGAGAAAAGTCTCTCACATATGTTGGATGTAGGTGGAGTGAAGTTGGTGTCGATGTACGTCTCCTTGGGTCCTGTCAGGCGGCGGCGCTTCAAGGCCTGCTCCGCAAAAGAGATGTTGTCTTCGTCATCACTGCTCTTCTTGTTGTCATTTGCTGCTAGGTCATTCGGTATGGGAGAAAGAAGTCGAACGGAGGCTGCCTTCTCAGCAGCAGTCAGTTTCCGGCCCGACTGAAGCTTGACGAGAACCCGTTCAAATACGGCGTTATTGACAATCGAAGCGTTCGCACTCAAGTACTTTTTCATCGACGGGAAGATCTCAATTGTATACTCGAAAAGCTCGCGCGCATCGAGCATAGTAAGTGTCTCGCTCTGCAGCTCTACCGTCACACTGTCCAGCTTTCGA